GTGCTTGGGAAGGTTTTGCTGGAGCCCAGCACTGCAGCTCACCGAGCCCGGTGACCTCCACTCCAGCCACGTCCACTCTGGATGGAGCCAGAGCACTGGGGGAAGCCAAGCTCTGGTTTTCCTGGCCAGACAGCCTGGCCACAGGTAATGGCAGAGCTGCACACAGGTAATGGCACTGCCTTATCAGCCCTGCTCTCCCAGCCAACACTTTTTTTTTTAAGCTCTCCCTGCTTAAAAAAAAATCGGTGCATGAGCTTTCATGTCCAAATTGTACATTCTTGTACTTACAAAGGTAGAAATGGATCCTGCTTTTAAGCAACGTTTTTCTGATTAAAAGAAAATGGACTTTTATTCCTCTTGCTTTGTTGTTTAGTTTCAAAGAAGGTTTAAATAACAATATCTGCTAACAAAAAGGGTAACATCAATTAGAAACAAAAAGAAACTAGTTTGTATAATTTCAGTGTTCAAAAGCAGTGAAATGCAAACACCAAAGCAGCACACACCAAACCAAACCAATCACCAAAACCCACATTAAAGGCAACCTTTCTTCTTTTTCTTTTCTTTTTCAGTAAGCTGACTGCCTAGAATTCACTGGGTTTTAGTAGCTGAGATACTGAAGGTAACAGAATAAGTTACTGTTATATGTAGACCCTCTTAGACACAATTCAGCTTCCAAATGCTACATTATTAAGCCATGGAAGAATAGGCATATCCATGTCCTCTGGCTAAAGACAAAGACTCCAAAGGTTATTTTTCAGACTCACTCTCCTACGTGGCTGCTGAACCTCAGCTAAGAAAGGGACATTTCAGCCTCTGAACCGTGCACCACTGAGCACACACTGCCTCCAGCCCACCGGCAGCTTCAAATCCGAACATGATAAATACTGTTTACCATTATCTGAAAAATACAAGCAGAACTCAAGCAGCCTCACAGTCCTATTGCCCAACTGCCAGCATGAGCAGTAGGATGCCAAGGGAAATTTTCCACAGTATTTCATTATGCAGATGAGTTTCCAGACCTGTCTTGGGAAAGGCCCCACAGCCTTTCAGTACCACCACCAGGCACAAAATGGGGCCAAGGGTACGTAAATGCTTTGAAAAGGAGATATCAATTTTCACCTAGACATCAGATGAAACAACGTGCATCCTGGATGGAAAAAATGACTTAGTGTATCACCTTTAGCTCAGATCAGCAGTAACCCAGAGCTCAGCCCTCCTGGGGGGCAGGGAGGGTGTTACAGCCATTAATGAATGTTGGATAACGAGATGATGAGCATCACAGAGAAACCACATGAATAGGTAATCAAACTTGTTAATGCAATTTAGCAGTTCCAGTCCAGCAACACGATACATTAATCACCAATACACTCAGCATTTTGGGGAAGGCTGGGGAGTGAATGAGGCTCGGGAATGAGCTGTGCCTTCCCTCCCTCTCCAGGAAGCTCTGCTGAAGTCTCAGAGGTGTCACGCCTCCGGAGCAGCACGACCCTGTTAACTCCCCTGCCCTCTCCTGCAGGCTCCAAACCCAGCAGGCTATTTATGAGCACTAAATACATGCTGCACCACCCTGCTCTCCTCAGCTCCTCTGAGGCTCTCCCTCATCTCGGGTGATTTAAACAGTGGGTGAGAAAAGGAAGGAGGAGGTGTAAGACACTAATCTTCGTGACAAATGACTATCTGCAGAACACTGTGTTATTACAGCCACATTTAACAGCTAAATATATTCAACACACCATGATGCTCCCGAGCTGACTAAACAGAGAGCTTGAGGTTAAGCTGACTGGAAATAACAGCAACTCTTTCCTATTAGCCACAACTCTTTTCAGAAGGTGGTCATTGTACAGAAAGGGCAACGTGTCCTACAGGTGAGAAAAAAAGGGAAAAAAAATCAAAACCCCAACTGTTCTACATCCACAGTGCTCAGACGTTCAAAGGAATAAGCAACTCCAAAAATGAAACCAGAAAAGAGAAGAACAGCTCAGCCCAGACTAATCAGAGTGACTCAAAGTTCAAAGAGTGACTCTCCAAAAACTAGAAGAACAACAGAGGAGACATAAGGGAGCACTGGAACTGAGGGGTTTCATCATATATCTACCTCTTACTTAATCTAATCAAATTATACATCCAACTCTTTAAATCCCTTAAAGGGGGTGATAGGCTGCTCTCCCCCACCAGCACTGTCTGCAGTTGTGGTGGGGATTCCTCTCCCTCACCCACTGGGTTGGCTTTGGACATGGCCTTTGGAAACGACAATGAACTCGACTTGCAAGGAATGCTCCTGTGCTGGAGGCAGCTGCAGCCTCTCAGAGGGGCTGGATTTACTGCAGGCTACACCAAAACACCACGGCTCTGAACACTCTCACTCCTTGACATACCTGATGCTGGTGACTGCAAGAGCTTTTGCTGATCCCCACTGCAGAGCAGCAGTTTCAAGTCAGCGCCTTTCCCTGCGTACATGTGTTGACAGCAGCCCCAAACTCTGACAAATCTTGGACTAAAGGACCATTTGAAATGCCTTTTTCTCCCTCTGCTTAGTTACAGCAAGAGATAAATGTGTTTGAATGATTTTTATACACAGTTGGGAGTAATAGGCTGGAAAGGACAGATTGGTTCTTGCAGCCCTCTCCCCATAGCCTGAGGTACAGAACAACCAAATATTCAGGAGCAATAGCAATCTGGATGCTTTGTCAAATGGAGTGAAGTATAAATCTAATTTTCTACACAAAGCAGACAACCTGGCAGTGAAATCAGCTTACCACTTTGCACCTCTCTACAAGGATTAGCAGAATGCCATAATTATAATGCCCAATTTGATTTATTAGAGGAGGCTGCATAGAAAAGATGACAATTCAGTAGCATTGTGAAGAGAAGGGATGAGAGTAGAAGGGAAGCTTCAAATTGAACAGCAATTTCTAAGCAACATCTCAATATAATTAGCATTAATTATAGTAAGTTATCCAAAATAGGTATAAATCTATGTTTAATAACCCTGAGATGCAAAATTCACCCCCCAAATTCCAGGAAACTTAATATTACAGCAAATTTGTCCAGACAGCTTGGCAGGAAATGCCAGAATTCTAGGTGTGAATTTTGTGATTACTAAAAAGAAAAATTATTGAATTTGCATAATGAGCTTGAACTAAAAATAGCCTAGTTTATGTACCTTAGATTTTGCTGCTACTTTCATCAAGTTTACAAACCTCCAAACTTGTCTGGTTTTCACAACTGTATCAGCTAGGATAATAGCAGGTATTCAAAAAAATCTCCCTTTCCCACAAGAGAGGAATTCTAAGTGTGACGTATTTAAAGAGGCACCATATATTAATGAGTCACTCATCACAGGTTTTCTTTTATACTCTTTGTGCAAGCTCCTCACTCTTTTTAGAGTTTGTTACTTATCCTTACAGGTTTTTAAAAAAATATTAAACAATGGAAGTTGAATTCAGGTTTTTATGAATGTGGCAGCAAATCCCCTATTTAACCACTGATGGCAGCCAAATACTATTCAGAATAAATAAGTAAAAATGTCCTCATTGTCCAAAGCTGAATTACCAATAAGCTATATATTTGGGAAACTAAGGCAGCAGAGTATGAGAGAAATCAGGGTCTGCCAGTGGAACAAAATCTCTTACCCCAGAGGCTTCAGTGAAGTGCCATGAAATCCCTAGTGGACACAGCTATGTGAAACAGAGTTTTAAATTTCATGTAGAAGATGTCTTTTTTAACAACCTTTTCCTCCTGAAGGAAGGGGGAACCTCCCCACTGTCTCACACATCCACAAATATGCAATTCCCTGCCATGCACTGGATTTCCTGCAGTGTAATAGAACTGAAGAAACAACTTTCACCAGACCATGAGAATTTCTAACTTAACATGTGATGAGCCCTTCTAAATCAATATGCTGAAACACAAAAGAGTGTGTGGTGGAGAAGTTATAGGGGAGGGTTTCATGACATAACCTTCACCACATTTTTAAATGTTAAAGCATTGCCAGTCTGAAAAAACATTTCCAGTAACTGGACAATTCAATCTTTGGCTGTCTGGCACACACATAGGATTAGTTTCACAGAACAGAAGGTGGCTCGAGTTAAACAGCTCTTTTTCTGCTGGAGAAATGGAGAATAAAACCCACTTTTTCATCTTAGTGTGTTTCCTAGCTCGGACCAAATGCTGGAAGGTCAAGTACACTGGTGTTCCCACTGGCTGCCACTTGGCACCCTGTTAAGGACAACTGGGAAAGTGTCCACGGAGAGATGCTGCTGTGCCACGGGGATTGCCAGCCATGAATGCACACTAAGTCACTAACAAACCTCCCTGCTGAGCAGCAGTTAAGTGATAAAGAGCCTGCCAGCCTCAGTGCCTTTTCTTTGTCACCTGCCCCCCTGCACACGCTGTGGCTCAGATGGAGTCTCTGGAATAATTCCCTCCAGCATCACAATTCTTCCTTCACTAATGCTCTACCACATTTTAGAAGGAAAACTAATAATGCACAGGAATACACAGGAAAGACTGCCCAGAGCACAGCTTCCTGCAAAATTACTTTCCACTTCTAAAATACTCAAACAGTCTCTCCTCCTCAACTCTGTTTTAGGCTAAGTCAAGCTCCAGTCATGAGATGGACACAGAAGCCTGCAGCTTCCAGGTGCACACTGCCCAGCACAAATCCTCCAAAGGAGGTTACAATCTGATCTGATGGATGATTCCCACTTGTGTTCAAGACCATCAGGGCCACAAATCTACTGTATGAACCACACCACTGCACTGTCTCAAAGCTGCAGGCACCAGGGAGATCTGCTCCTGCCTGCATTTCTCACTGCACCTGGCTTATGGAACCTGCCCTCAACACAGGATTTATGCACTTGGCCACAAATCTTCATTGTTTTCACCAGCACAGGTAACCAGAGAAGCCAATTACATGGACAGCCTCACCTACCAGCAAGGCCAACATTTCACAGTGCCCAAGGCCAAGAGAGTCTCTTCATGTGAGGAGTATTCCCTACCTGTTTGGATAGCTTCAAGGGGAGTTTCTTCTTCATCCGCTCCTTGCCTCTGTCTGCCTCTCTCTCTGAGCTCCCCGCATCGTTGTTATGGCCATTCTCACTTGGCTCAGCAGATACACAGTTCTCAGATTCTCGAGGTTTCTTGCCTGGATGCCTCTCCCATTTCTCCTTCCGCTCCTGAGGCTTTAGTGACATGTCCTTCTGTAAAAGAGATTAAGAAAGAGAATTGTGAGTTCTTTATGTTCTTTGCAGCTACCTTTAAGCATTAAGCTGTATAAATACTGAATAAAACCACAAACAAGACAGTATGTATCTTCCAGAGATGACTTAAGATGAATAATTAGGCATGCACAACACAAACAGTAATTTTAGATTACATTAGGATGAATATTCTCCAGGTTATGTGTTTGAATAATTTCAGTGATGCTGAAACTGGATATGAAAATGAGCTCACTTCAGATTAACTCAGAAACCATAGTCAACAGCACATGAACAAATCAGCATCCTGAAGGGAAGCCTTCAACTGTTCAACTGAAACAGAGGTGGGTTTTGTTTTGTTTCTGATCTGAGAAGTATCAGACCCCCCTTGGGGCTGACAGTCTCTGATTCACAGCAGCATTCATATGGAGAAAGGCACTTCTAAAGCCCTACCACAAATTCCCTGAGCCAGAGAGATCAATGGGATCCAAACACACAACAGAGGTTGAACACTTGGAAGTGTTAAGTGTCTGCCCCGAACCAGGCTGTAGCACACAATCTAAGCACAGTTTAAAAGCAGGTATGTCGTGTCATAATGATTAACACTGGAAGTGAGATCAGAGAAGGGATTGCTCTGCTATCCCTGGCATCTCTGAGGACTGGAAGCTGAACTTCCAGTGACAGTGTACCAAACTCTCTCTATGCACACCGTGTGGAAAAGGAGTTGAAGAAATAATATGACAAATCACTGTGACATTGGGTCTCTACAGCTAGATACATTTGTCCCTTATGTCTTTTATTAACTCAAGAATAAAAACTGAATTCTTATGGGAACATTTTGCAGGATATCTATTCCTATTATTTTTAATGTGACGTAAATAGATTAGGAAATACCCTAAAAGCATTGCTTATTATGCCAAAACTCAGCCCCAGATATTTTTCTAAATGCCTCGCTTTTGACTCAAGCAGTTACATGACAGGTATTTGTATCTTACATGAATGGAGATCACAATACAACTGCTCACATCAATGCACACACCTTCAGTGCTGCAAAAGAGCTCATGAAAATCATTAGCTTTCCAGTCTCTCAAAAACCGAAGCCCAACAAAAAAAGAAAATTAGGAACTGGAATGAAATGCCCTGCTGATTGCTCCAGATTACTTCCTCCCCCTCTCCTTTAATTAGTGAATTGACTGCCTCAGTGTGCAACATGCTGATTCCACTCCAAATCACTCACTTGTTTAGAGTTACCCTTCCCTGGGAAGTGAGATGATGCATTGGCACTTTAGGGTCACAGACACACTGAAACTAGAACCAAGGCAATAAAATAGAGCTGTTTCAATTCCAGCCCAGGCTCCCAGGGAATCAGCCAGCACCCAACCCCTGTGCAGCTTGCACAGGAGTCCTGTGGGGCTGGAGGCTGCTCTTAGGGAACACACAGATATATCAAGTTGAAAACCCCCAAAGATACAACTCTTCCACCAAAATTAAAATAACTAGCATTGTCATGGAGGCACAGAGCACAGCTCAACTTGCCAAGTCCATTACCAGGGAAAGAGCAAGGAAAACACCTGTCTGGCATTATTATCTATGAATGATAAAGGAATATAAATCACTGTGAACTTCTCACTTTGTTTTTTAGTTTAAAGATAACATTTTAAAGTAGCAGTTCAAGATGCCAATTGAAGAAGGTCATATTGTGCTGTTTACTGGGAAGCTACTGAGATAAAAATCAAATTGCTAATCTTCAGTAACTAATCAAAAACTTGTCACGTGGAAATGGCATCTGCTAACTGATGTTCAGCAAAACATTAGAAACAGGAATCAGCACAAACAGGCACTTCTTCACAAAGCCAGATGCAGCTTGTGATGTGGCAGCAGGTGCAAGGAAGGTGCTGCATGAGGTGACATGGACCCCTGATGGGGGAGAAAGGAGCTTGGGGCAGGGAAATGCCACCACCTGAGAGCACCAGAAAATCATGCACTCCTGGCTTGAGGGGCAATATTCATTTCTAAGGATGCCTTCAAAGCCAATAAATTACCTTTTTGGTTTAAACTCTATCTAGCTTCACATGGTGGTTGGGCCTCTGTTAATGCTTTAGGGAAAGTCTTCCCTTGGTACCCACAGCACATTCACTGCAGGTTTTCAGATGATTCCTTTCACCACAGAACTGGTCCACAAATCTCTGTTTTTCTCCTTACTGAATCCTACAAAATTTCCTACTTCGAAATGCAGCTTTTCATCCCTATTTTGTCTGGAGATTTAAGGCTTGTCTCATCGCTGAGCTACTAGCAAAATTAATTCATGAAATACAGTTATAGCTGGATCAAAGCCAAGGAAATAATTCATTCACTTGTAGTGCCATCCAAGAATCTCAAGCACTTTCCAAACAGCCATGAATTAAGCCCCAAGGCTGCTCCTGACTCCAGTGGGGGGACAGTGCAGGGAGACCTGGGGCAGCCACAGGGACAAAGCCACGTTTGTGTGACAAGAAAACCTACTCCAGAGTCCCTTTTCTCCCTGCTTCAGCAGAGGACACAGCCCACAAGAGTTTTCCCTGGCAAGGCAGGACACTGAACTCAGCATGTCCTTGCTGACAGAGGGTGACAGCAGGCACTGCTAAATGCAGACCTCTGCAGCCTCAGGCACAGAGCAGGAGGGGGCTAATGGGGTTTCTGTTCTTGCCTCCTTTGTTTCCTTTCTATTTCCTCTACTAAAAGAGCCTTCCAGTGATTGCTCTTTTACTAAAGTTTATGACCTCCAAGTTGGGGACCTCACTTAGCACAAGAGCTTACTATTTTTGGATGTGCATCTGTGCTTGTGCACAGGCAATTGCTGGAAAATTTAAGCACATCCAGAATATACAGTACATCACAAGAGGGGACATTTATTGATGCACCTTGACTGGTGCATTGACTGGACTTTCAATCCAGAAATCCCAGCCTGCAGGTGAGACTGGCCTCCTGACAAACTGCCCCACTGGAGCCTGCCCCCAAGGCAAGCCCAGAGCAGCAGATATTTTCACCCTCTGCACATCAGGTAAAACCTGCAGATTCACACAGTGACAGTATCTGAAGTCAGACCACACAGTCAATAGGTCTTCACATCAGCCTTGTGGTTTCTGGCCAGCCCAGGAGCCTAATGATGTGACCACCTTGGCTGTCACAAAGGTGACAGTGCAGTAAATCCCCTTCTCCAGGGAAGGCTGGTGGGTCCAGGCCCATTCTCTCTTCTCAGTTCCAGAAACAAGACTGCTTAATCTTGCTCCAGAACACAGAAAACTGTTTTGCTCCTTACTACTCATTGCTTCCAGGACTGTCTCCTACCTGTCCTCACTTCAGAGTTTCTCTGACACCTTCCAGGGCAGGCTACAGCCTCTCCATCTGCAGCCCAGACAGACAAGGGGCTGCAGATGGAGTGCAGATGGTTCTAATTGGCTGCATGGCTACAGATAAGGAAGAATTAGGCCTTTCTTCAGAGCCTCTTTCCTGGCAGTTCCTCCATGAAACACACGGATTCTATCTCCCTATTTGTTTATTTGGATGTACAGACACCAAGGAACACTTCAGCTGAAGATGGGGTTGTGGCACCTCCTCCAGCTCTGCCTGGAAAACCTCTCACAGCAGCAGCTGTGAAGAGTCGCTCACAAAGACCCTGGCAAAGGCTGGCAACCCAACAGATTTTGGGAGTCCACTATAAAAACCTTTGTGATTCTTTTTCCATCACAGTCAGCCCAAGCTAGTTATGCAATTGCATCTCTGCTTGCAGCAGATCTGGCAGGAGCCCTCAATCACTTGGAACACTCCTTCCTGAAAAGCCATTTTTCTTCTGTCAGCAAGGCACAGCTGCAGTCTCCAAAGACACTCAAGGTACACACTACCCAGTTTATAGGCAAAGCTGGGAATAATGTGGGTGCACAGCCCTCAGCTCCAGAATGAGACTGTTCTTACCCCTAAAATGCCACAGCAAGACACTTCTGCACAATGGGCTCCATGTTTTCTGTTTGATCAGGAAATAATGGTCAGCCCTGGAGGAGCCTGGCACAAGCTCACATCCCACAGCCATCCTCTGGCTGGAGTTATCACTGCCTGTTTGCTCAGCCCAGCTCAAACTCGGCCTTAATCCTCTGAATTTACACAGCTCTGAGATCTCAGAAAGCGTGCAGGGGAAGGCTGTGGTTGTAAATACCTTTCATACACAGGGAACACTTAAAGAGCCTGAAGAAAATGTCCAAAACCCACACAGCCAGATGAAAACCCTCGAGTCTGCTGCTGGGATGCAGAAGGTAAAAAAATAACACCTACAGATAATAAAATAACTATCCTTAGCCCTTGAGCGTCAGTTCAAAACGCAGCCCTGGTGCAAAATCAAGTCCATTACAATCCCCCATCCCCAGGGCCCATTGGACACTGTGAGGCTCAGCCAAGCACTGGTTACACTCCATTCCTGCCAGACTGCCTCTGCCAACTGCACAAGATTATATGGGCTGATTTCCCAGAAGGAAGACAGCCTCCAGCTTCTCTCTCCACAGCTCTTCACTGCAGCACTTATTCCTTAAGTTGGGCAATGTGAAATATCCTACCGAACATCAAACAGGAGAAGGATCCACATAAAGGAAATAAAAAACACCACAGCCTCCGAAACTGACCCTGCTTGCCCATGTTTCTGCCTCCAGCTTCTCTCAAAAAATTGCAATGGAAAAGCCCCTGAGGATCTGAGCACCATCTATCCTTGTATCAACTTTAGCATGCAATTAGCAGTAGGGTTGTCAATTGTTTAATAGTTCAGGGAGAGATCCCAGCTCAGAAAGGACCTGAAACAGATTTTTAAGTAGGTTATTTTTTAAATATTCCCACTGACCTAATATTCAGTTTATAGAACAGCACCACAGAAACAATTGCTGACAATGTTCTTGTGCTTTCTAAGCAGACAAAGCACATTACAAATACAGACAGGACTACTACTAACACAAACCTACCATTTATTTGCATAAAGGGAACAC